CTTAGACAACTGGGACTAGGAGACATGGCATCCCAGAGTCAGGATTAAAACACAAACTTGAGTCAGGGGAAAGATACATTTTACCTTTTGTGGTGGTGGTGTTGTTGGGGTGGCATGTTGTTTTCTTAATTCGTTTATTTATTAGTGTGTGTATTTGTGTGGGCAGGCTCATGCCAAGGCATGCTACACCTAGCCTGTTATGTGCCACGAGGAAGGAGAGAGACAACACATGGTTATCAAAGATTTTATTAAATCACCACATAAGTGGATCACTAATCAATCAGGGCTGCAGGACAGGGACTCGAGAGACTTGTTTCTCCTGACAACCCAAGGAAGGGCAGAAATAGGTTTATAAGCATGAAAATCACAAATACTTGTTGCCAAGTTACGATTATGATTTTCACCAATCAGGATTTAGAGATTAGGGGCTTCCTTGAATGTTCCATCATTGTCAACCTTTATACAATGAAAGCCTTTCAGTCCAACCAATCAGATTCATTTATTCTTTTAGTGGTTAAGAACAGCCATAATGTTTCTCGAGAACTAAAGATGCTTAACAACTATTTGTACAGTTTAGGGAGGAAGTTGATCAGCCTTTGGAAAGTTCTCAGTTTGCCTAGGAACCTGAACTTTATTTCACCCTACAGGGTAAAGTCTGAAGTCTAAAGTCAAAATGGCAGTGCTTAAGCCAAGGTGTTTTTGCCTGCTCCCTTCGATATCTGTCAGGGTTGGAGGATGATGTATGGGACCAGTTCTCTCCATCCTTCATGGGGGTTCCAGGGATCAAAGTCGGGTCATAAGGCTTAGCATCAGGTATGTTTCCCTGTTGAGCCATTTTACTGGCCCCTACATTTTATCTTTTAGATCTTTGTCAGAGATGTCTGTAATCTGAGGGCATATCACTGGATAAGTTTCTTCCAAGGATCTTTTTACTTTCATTTTATTTTAATTTTGTTTACATTTGTGTGTGTGTGTGTGTGTGTGTATGTATGTGCATGTGCATGCACACATGGGTGCATGAGCACATGCTCATGTGCGTATACATTCCACAATACATGTGTAACGTCAGAAGACAATGCCTGAGCTGGTTTTATTCCCCTCCGTGGGTTCCAGGGGTCAAACTGTCAGGCTTGGCAGCAGGCACCTCTACCTGCTGAAGCATCTCACGAGCACCTTTCACTTGCCCTGTAAAGGAAGCCTGTTAGGAAAACTGGAAATTATATCTGTCAAACCAGCTGCCTGTTTATCTGTGTGGTTTTTACCCCCTGGCAACACTTCCGTCTACCAAGAATTAAAGACAACATGGAAAAGATCTCCCAAAGTGGGGGTGGGAGGAAGCATTAGAACAGGATAACCTCTGAGGAGCAAAGTCAGTGCACTGGTAGACTGGAATTGACTGCATCCTGTTATTTAATACTCTTACTGCATAAAATCTAAATTTGCCATAATAATTAAGATTCTTGCTTAATGCGTTAGAGTTCTCCAGGGGAAAAATCAAATAGGACACATAGAAACAGAAAAAAAAAAAAAAAACAGTTTATTGGGGCTTGGAGAATGGTTCAGTGGTTAATGGCATATACTCTTCTTGCCAAGGACATGCAGTTTGGTTCCCAATACCCATGCTGGGCAGCTCACAACTGCCTGTAACTCCAGCTCTAAGGGAATCTGATATCTCTGGACTTAGCATGCACCTATACCCATATGTACACACACACACACACACACACACACATATATATCCTTAAAAAAATTGTTGTATAGATTGGTACAAAAACCGGAGGAAAAAGTCAAAATCATAGTATATTTGTTGTCTTCAATAGAGGGACTTGGGATAGTAGTGTGATCCAGTCCAGATTTAAAGGCTAAATAATCAGTGGTACACTCAGTCCAAGGCTTTCAGAACCTAGAGACTGGGATGGGAGCTCCTGTGTAAGTCCCAGAGTCTGAAGGCCTGGGAACAAACTTTAGCATTTCAAAATAGACCAGCTCAAGGAAAGAATAAGTTGGCCTTTCCCAAGTTTTTGAAGTGATCCCTCAATGGATTGGCTGGTGCCTGGCCACATTGACAATGATAAGTCTTTGTTTACTGACTCAGCTTCCAATCTTTTCTAGAAATAACCTTACAATACACCAAAAAGGAAAATAGGAGGTTTTACCAGCTATCTATGCAACACAAGCTGACACATAATGTCAACTGTTGTACCCAGTCACCTCAAAAAGTTGATAAAAGAACAAAGGCTACAACCTGAATATGTTTTTCACATCTCTTCCCATTTCATTTACAGGCCCAGAAAAAAAAAATTTTTTTTGAGACAGGGTCTCTACATATCCTTGACTGGCCTGGTCCACTATGTAGACCAGGCTGGCCTTGAACTCACAGAAATTCACCTACCTCTGCTTCTTGGATGCTGGGATTAATGACTTGCACCACCATGCTGGTCCAGAGATCTTTTTTAATATAAATGAAGAATTGGAAATAAATACAACTATGGTTGACTTCCAAAAGGTAATTTTGGTATTGTTTTTTTTTTCTTATTTCTTTATGGAGAATGGGAATGGTAAAATGTTTCAGATAGTAGTGGTCAGGCATCTTGGTGCTCTGTAACTCTGCCTACTGACAAACACAATGAGTAGGTTTATCTTCATAGGCACTTCATAAACAGTTATCAGAGTAATGTCAGCAAATGGGCTAGAGACTTCTAAAG